TGGGGCCCACAAGGCCGTGGACACTATCACCTCCCCCCTCGGCTTCTTGGCAAGTCCTTGAAGGTGGAAGCAGGGAACGGCTCTGAGTGGCCGTGATGTCTGGGATGACCGTGGTATCTGGTTGGTTCTCAGTTCTCCTTTGTCTTAAAATTTAAATTGAACAGCCCCTAAAAGCCTGTCCTGGAGTCAAGCGGGGTGGGCAGCTAACCAGCAAAGAGCTCGTGCCCAGCCAGGCGGGACCTGAGGGGCGCTGGCCCCATCCGCGGGCCTCACACAGCCCACAGCCACAGCTCCTGCTTTGACCAGGAAGCAGCTGGGGTCATGGATGAGCCGGTCCCGAAAACTGCCTGGGACGACAGGAGCCGGGCCACCAGGATTTCTGGCCTGAGGCACTGCATGGTCACATGTCCTGGCCACTGAGCGACTTGACATTCTGCAGACCACACCCGGGGCCTGGGATTCTGATCTCATCCTGTGCAGGTGAGGGAGGCCAATAGCGACCAAGTTCAGAGAGAAGAGGCTAAAAATGGATTTAATTCAATCTAAAGAAATAGAATGGACATTTCTTGCAGTCCTGAGACTGCGGCTCCGACTGTACCCTAGAACGGGCGGCTCTGGGCTGGTGTCGCTGCGGGGCTGCGTGCGTCCTCTGTAGGGTACCCCCGGAGGTATGGGTCTCCCACGGGGCGGAGCCTCTGAAGGGCGGGCCCAGCGCTTTCCACCTTCCTGTGCGCCCGCGGCCCGCGCATGCTCAGTAAGCGCCTCTTCAACAAACCGACAGCAATTGCTGCCCCGCCCGGGCGCCGCTGCCCGACCGGCGCGGAGCAAACCCCGGGTGCCCCTGACGACACGCTCCAGGGAGCTCGACACCCAAGGACGCCCAGCCAAGGTGGCCGTTTCTGTGCCCGGAACAGCGGGCGTCTGCAAAGATCTGCGTGTTAAAAGGCCGTGATATCCATTCTGATCAACCATTATTATAATCACTGGTAATAAAAGTGTCACTCGCCCATTTAGGAGCTACCTCTCTTTCTCATTTTTCTCCTGAATTTTACGGGGAAAGCAGCCAGACTCAGACTTCTCATATTTGTCATCTATTCCATAAATGCGACTTAAGCATGTTCCCTGCGTTTTTTAAGGGGACACAAGTACCGTTCAAATAAAAATGTTACGCGTTCCGAGGTTTATAAACCTGCAAAGCCGAGGAGCCCTTGCCACCGAGGGGCCACAGCAGCCTGCCACCGGCCACGCTGCCCTGAGGGCCCCCTCCCCACGCAGACCGGGCGTCACGCCCGGGAGAACCCGCGAGCATGCGCACTGCGTCCCGGGACAGGCGTCCCCGCCGGCGACGGAGGCCAGTAGCGGGGTGACGGCGGAGCAGGCCCGAGGGGACAGGGTCGTGGAGTCGACCCTCACCAGGCTGCTGTGTCACCCACGCGAGATTCGGCTTGGGTTTCAGAACAAGGGATTTTGTAAACAGTCTGTGCAAAATAAAGCTTTTTTAACAGAAAATAAAAGACGTCGAAATATACTGACAAAACCTGAAGAAGCACACTTCTCCCCAGGACGTCTGAGCGGGTCCCAGGGCCACGTCCTCGCGCTCACGTCCCGGACCCTGCGACCCCGACGGCGGTGTCCTGCCCGATGGCCCCCAGTGCCCCGACCCCACCGCAGTTAAGAGGGTGGGTGCTTTGTCAAATAACTTCCTAAGGCAAGAAACAGAACAGAAAACAGGTTCAAACAGGGCTCCTGCCCCGGGGGACGGTGCGCTGAGGGCCCCTCCTACAGCGGGGGGCGGGGCTGGAGGGGGCGGGGCGGCGAGCTCTCCGGACGCCCTGCCCCGCCCCCAGCCTCGCATCCAGCCCGGGGTGCACCTAGCCCCCCAACGCCTCGCCCAGGCCCTTCCTCCGCCCTCCTCAGGGCCCAGCCAAGCCGAGGGGCAGGAGGGACGACAGACGGGGCGTTTCCAGCACCCTGGTCCGGGACCCCGGCGCCCGGGCGCGGACACACGCACACAACCACTGCAACGTCCTCCCCTCTGTGGGCAGGGCCGAGGGCGCTGGATTCCGCATCGGTGGGTGTGAGCGGCACACGCCAGGGCGAGCCTTGCCCCTGCTTCTGATGAGCAGGGGTCCCCTCCCCCAGCCGCAGAAGGGAGGAGCCTGGGGGAGGCCCCGGGAGAGGGGGCGGAGGCAGGGGTTCTCCCGCCCCAGAAAGGTCTCACAGCTCGGTTTTCCCAAGGAGAGCCCTCCGCGGCTGCTGTCTGTGCGGGAGACTGAATGTGTCCTCAGAATTGCATGGTGCAGCCCCACACCCCAGTGCGCTGCTGTTGACGTGATTAGGTCAGATGATGACAGGACAGACCCCGGAGAGCAAGCAGGAATCACGGACCTTTATGACTTGGTGACAGCTGTCACAAGGCCACTTCTGCCGCATTTGCCCGTTAGAAATGAGTCACCAAGTCCAGCCTACACTCAAGGGGAGAGAGAACTGGGCTCCATGTTCTGTGAGAAGATTGTCAAAGAATGGGTAGTTTTCAACCACTACCTTTCACTTTTTAAATCTGGTCATTTCACTGGACCGAGTCCTCTGCCACCTACACACGTGAGCCCTAAAATTCCGTTTATAAAATGTCTGAAGCTTGAGTTTCTTTGGTGCAGTGGATATGTGTTCCCAAGACCAACATGAGGTTCAAAAGATAAATTTTAACGCAAAGACTTTTGATCAGTTTTAAAAAAATACTTAAAATGGCATGCCCTTCAAAACATGGTGTTGATTTGAGGTTTTTCTATGATTAGGACAAATTAGGCATCACTGCATCTCAGAATTATTGAGTAAGAAAATAATGTACCGTTTTCTTGTTAAGATTCAGAAGTTTGATTGTAACGGGATATTTAGTAATGAGTTTAACCTAGAAAATCTCACACTGAACAAAGACTAACAGACAAACTGTAAATTAATATGTACACAAACGGTCACACAAAGGACCTAAACAAAGTGATTTTTCCCTCCACGTACTGAAATGTAAGGGACTCCAAGCCATGAGCATAAAATTAAGGCAGCTACTTTATTTTGAACAAGAAAGTGGCATAAGCAACCGTGAGTGTCCCCCTAATGTGCAATCCCGCCCCTCCCGCTCCGCTCCCCACCACGTTCTGGGAGAAAAGTGTGTTGTACTGGCCAGTCCTGTCACCCACGCCTACACCTGCTCACACTGGCCGTGGCGCTGACTGAATCCGCTGAAAGCCACGGAATCGGGCCGCATGGGGCAGCTGAGCTGTTACCCTGGGAGTGACACCCACCCAGGCCGCGTGGGAGGCGTGGGCTGACACGGCCACCAGACAGCGACCTTGAATCGGAAGAAGAATGCCTCTATCCACAGCTGCTTCCACATGACACTCGGTTTTCTAGCTCCTTTCATTAAAACATATTCTGATCAAATAATTTTGCAAAGCGAAGTTCACCCAGCCTCGAATCTACAACATAAAAGTAAGGACAACAGGACAGATTTTCTGACGTCCTCGTGCCTGGGACCGTCACGGGTGAAGGGGCCCCAGGAGCACCGCTAGGCCGACTGCGCCAGAAACGTCAAGTACTGCTTCCGAGCCTCGAGATGGTCAGCTGGCCGGTTGTACGCCGTCCACACTGGTTGTCCCACAAACAGCCGCATGGCCTTCACGTAGTTCTAGAAAACAGACACACCGGCATCGCATTAACATGGCGATCGCGACAGCGCTTTCTGCTTCGCTTCTCACGTCCAGTCCTCTGGACACGTGTGCACACAGCAGGCAAACATCGCCGCGGCCCACCTGCTCGTCCACCGTGAAGCGGTGGTAGATCCCTGCGGGCAGAGTGATCAGGTCCCCCTTCTCTACGAAGATGCGAATCCACCTGTCCTCGTCATCTCTCACGTCGAAGTACCCGCTGCCATCCAGCACGTAGCGGATCTCATCGTCCAAGTGCAGATGTTCCTCGTAAAACATTTTGATCTGGAGCAGGAGGGAAAGTCTGAGTCAGCTGGAGACAAGGGAAGGGAACTGACACAGACCCCACCTCTGGCCCAGACGTCAAAGATCAGAGCTGAGGTGGATGCAGATCACCCCCTCAAAAAGAGGAAGCAGTATAATAAGTATAAAGGGCGGGAGCCAGAATATTTTAAGAAATCTGTCAATGTACTAGCAGAAGAAGAAAGAGATGATACTTACATGGCCCCTACCACGTTCCAGGAAACGTTCTAAATAGTTTACGTGTAATAACTCATTTGGGAGCTCTTTCATGACATCTGACAGATCAGCTTAGGGAGGCGAGGTCATCGCCCCAACATCACACAGCTTGGATGTGCAGATAGCCCAGTCTTGCGAAATCTGTCAATGTACTAGCAGAAAAAGAAAGAGATGATACTTACATGGCCCCTACCACGTTCCAGGAAACGTTCTAAATAGTTTACGTGTAATAACTCATTTGGGAGCTCTTTCATGACATCTGACAGATCAGCTTAGGGAGGCGAGGTCATCGCCCCAACATCACACAGCTTGGATGTGCAGATAGCCCAGTCTTGCTCATAACCCACCACACATGGCAGTCACGCTGATCACACTGCACATGGCAATCGCAGATCACACGTACACACAATCACATGATCACTGCACACGGCAGTCACGCAGATGACACAATCAGGTGGTCGCACTGTACACAGCAGTCATGCAGATCACATGCACACACAATTACATGATCACTGTACACGGAAGTCATGCAGATCACACACAATCACGATCACTGCACACGGCAGTCACACAGATCACATGCACAATCACGATCACTGCACACGGCAGTCACGCAGATCACATGCACGATCACGTGATCGCACTGTACACAGCAGTCACAAAGATCACACAATCACGTGATCACACTGCACATGGAAGTCACATTGATCACACACACAATCACAAAGGCAATGCACACAGCAGTCACACCGGTCATGCATGTAATCACGTGATCACACTGCACACAGCGGTCACGCGGATCACGCACACGCAGCCACACTGATCACACTAGAAGGTCAGAGGCCACATGAAGATCTGAGGAAGGCACTCGTCATCTCGACCAACGCCTTCCATTTGTTCAGATCTACTTTTGTGTCTTTCAGAAGGTCTTTAGCCCCCTAACATTTGTAATAAAAATATTCGAATATGAATTAGTCTGATATAAACCCAAATGAAGACATTCACAGGAAACAGACAGTCTGTGCGCCGGTGGAGAATGCAGCTCTCCCGTCACGAGCACGCGAGCCTCACGGGAACGCGGAGCTCCTTGCCTTTTCCTCGTAATCCGGCAGCTTCTCCTCGCAGATGGTTATGATGTCCATCCAGGAGTAGTTTCTCTCCCTCCGGATCTTTTCCAATTCTAGATCATTCTCATATTTGTCAGGATCCAGCTAAAAGTTTAAATGACAAACGGGAGGTCACATCAGCGCAAGGGGACAGAGACCCTGGGCCTCCAGTACGCTTATGTCCACAGTCGTCACCCAGGCCTTTCTCAATCCTAAACCTTCCTTCCCCTCCCTCCCCACTCTCCCTGACAGCTACCGATAACGCAGCCATGTTTAACTCTGCTGCCCTGCCCCCCGCAGGCCTCCCTAGGGGTCCCCTTCACGTCCCTGGTTCCACTGCCATGAGCTTGGGTGGTGCACTCTCTGCGACACGCCCATTCGAGGACACACCTCCCTCCAGTCCTGCTCCTCTGCCGGCCACCCCTCTGCAGTCTGATCTCTCTATGGCCTCTCTGGTCAGTCTGTTTCTCGAGGCCAAAATGACTGCCACCCTCAGTGCCTACAGGTAAAACCCAAGTTCATTAGGCTGGGACGAGGCCCCTCAGCCATCTGGCCCCAGGTGCCTTTCCTAGTCCACTGCCCCTCTTCAAAAATGACTGACGCTTCACCTCCCCGCCCCTTGTCTGGCCAGCGTCCCACACCAAGGACGCTGGCTTGCCCTGTTCATCTATCACATGCCATCTGTTCTCTAAAGTCCAATGCAATGTCATCTTCTTTATGAAGCACTGCCCTAGGGCCCCAGCCAGGACGAGTGTGAACCGCTACTTAAGTCCACTGGCAGTGACTTTGGCAGACTTCCCCTTAAATGGCAGTAAAACCTACTCTAGCACCGGTACTTACGGTCAACTCCAGACTCTCAAAGTACTAGTCACCGGTACCCAGACTACAGAGAGGACTCCCCAAACTGGCAAAGCACGATGTGCATGCCACTGCTCCGTGCCGAAACCACTGAGGTTAGCGTTGTGTGTGACGCAGCTATCACTCTGCTACGTCACTAACAGCAGATGCACGGAAATGCTCCATCGCTTCCCACTGGTTGCAAACGGTCTCAGTAACAAAGCATGTAAAAGGCACGGGATGCTAAGTGCGCAGAGTCGACATAATTTAATTTTGATGGCCCTTAACCTTGTCATCCAGACTGAACCAAAGGTAAAAGAGACCGAGTTGGACCCGATGGGGTAGCACAAAGGTCACCTTTTACAGGTAAGGCTCATCCTTTGCACACATCTGAGAGCAGAGCAGTATCTCACTGTTACTCCCAAACGCACAGTGGCTCCCTCGAGTGCTGTCACGTGACCTGCTTATCTGGACTGCACACAGATTGATTTTATTATAAAACAAAACTGATTTTCCTGCCATAATAAACATTATCTTTTACGTTTTTATCTTTCATTTTAATAGACATTATAAACCTTTGCACTGTTTCGAAGTCTTAGTCCAGGATAAATAAATACCGTGTTAAATATTTACACAAAACCCGAAGTCTGAATTTCAACCTGGCCCGCAGGGGGCCTGCGTGGTGTAAATGGACTTCGGACCGGGCGGGGCAGCGGTGGCCGAGCAGGAGCCCCCCGGAGGCTCTGCGGAGGGGGCTGGGCGCCC